GGTAGCATTGGGTTTGACCCCCAAAACATCGTAATAAGTCGTTTCCTTCACCATTTTCTACAGGCGGTGAGCGGGCTAGGCCGCGGTTGGGTAGACAGGAAGGAGCGGGTAGTCGTGTGCAGGTCGAGCAGCCGCCGCTCCTCCACCTCTCAGCACGTTCTGGAAAGTTCCCAAGCAATAGGTTCTTATGTTGAAGGTTATAATGAGCTTGCCACTTTTCTCACATACACAAAGTACTGTATTGTGGGGTTTTGATATTTGTTTTTGGTTGTGTTGGAGGGAATGAGGTAGGACTTAGAATTTAGACCAATTACTAAGAGAAGTTAAAAGAACTGATCATGACAGAAAAATATATTCTATATAACAAATGCCTCAAAACTTAATGACTTAAAACATTTATCTTCTGTCATTAGGGGTTCAGGGGCACCTTAGCCAAGTGGTTGTGACTTAGTGTGTCTCAGGAGATGACTGTTAAGCCACAGGCCAGGACTCTAGCCAGAGAATCCATCTCCAGGGTGACTCACTGAGACAGTTAGTAAGCAACAAGAGGCCTCAGTTTCCTACCACAGAGGCTACTCCATACCACTGATACTAAGGGAACTTTGCATCTATCTAAGAATTTAGAAGAAATGGAAAGAATCCTAAGAAGCTGTCCCACTGAAAAATAAAAAGATAGTTTTACTAAACTAAGTATAACAGTTTTAAGTTGCCATAAATAACTGAAATTAAATTTGCTATGTGGGGAGCAACATAACTGCTCTCTGGAATCAAACTGTCTGCCTTGCTAATTACATGGCGTTGGAAAATGACCAAATATCTGTTTCTCATCCATAGAGTGGAAAAGGAAGCAGAGTACCTGTTTGATGGTGCTGTCTGTTGTGGGAGTTAAATGTTTAATGCTTATAACATACCTGTCATTTTAACTTTAAATGTTACTTATAATAAGACATTTTTTTTAAATAAGATATTTATTATACTTTGAAAACACTCAAGTGTCTTTGTAAGATATATTCTACTCATCCATAGGTTTTCTTTCTTTTTTTTTTTCTTTTTTTTGGCAGAACCTGGGATTGAACTCAGGCCCTTGTGCTTGCTAGGGAAGTGCTTAGTCCACTGAGCCATCTCCCCAGCCCCCTTTTTTTTTTTT